GAGAGTTTACTGTATCCGGAAAGGTAGTTTTACTTTTGAACCTTCCGTAGTGAAATACTATCGGATGTACTTGCTAAACAGTGAACGCGATGTCTTGAACTATTCAGCTTTTGTATACACCAAGACAATAGTACTCACGCAGCACCCTCTCTCTCTCTCGTTAGTCCATTTGTTGCGCCCATTATGGCCCTGGGACATCACCTGGTAAATTTCATCAAGTACTCTAGAGAATTAGCCCTTTTGTCATTCTCATAGAAGCGGCCCACTTCATACTTGATATAGGAGATTTCTCTTTGAAAGTATCTCAATATATTCCACTCTCGTAGGAGATAAGAGAATCTTTAAGAGTATAAACTCAACCTTCCCAATTTGTATCACTCTTATCATAGGAATGTGAAGAGACATCAGTCTCGAGCGATCTCATCGACCCCCCCACAATTCGGTTGTCCCATTGAACCTAACACTGGTGGTTTGTCCAGATAGGTTGGGTTGCCATCATGGTGGTTTGTCATTCTATGGGCTTTAATCCCATTCCCCTCGATAATATTTCTACCTGATCTCTGTTAAGACCTTTGGTCAGAGGATCAGCCAAATTATCTTTTGATCTCACAAAATCAATAGATATGACACCATCTGTTAGTAATTTTCTAACAGAGTTATGTCGTCTGCGGATGTGTCGCGACTTTCCCTTATACACATGGCTTTTTGCCCTTCCTATTGCAGACTGACTATCGCAATGTATGCAAATTCCAGACATCGGCTTAGGCCATATAGGAATATTCTCAAGAAAGTTTCGAAGCCACTCAGCTTCTTCACCAGCAAGGTCTAAAGCTATAAATTCAGATTCCATAGTGGATCTTGCAATACACGTTTGCTTAGAGGATTTCCACGAAATAGCACCTTCACCAACAACGAATATATATCCACTTGTGGATTTATTCTCATTCGAATATGATATCCAGTTCGCATCAGAATATCCTTCTAATACTGCTGGATATCTTGTATAATGCAGTCCATAATTCTCAGTATACCTTAGATATCTAAGGAGTCTAATTATGGCCTTCCAATGATCACAACTTGGATTGCTCGTATATCTGCTAAGCCTATTCACGGTATTAGCAATATCCGGCCTTGTACTATTCATAAGATGCATTAAGCTTCCTATGATTCTGGAATATTCTAATTGTTGAACTCCCTCACCGTGATGTTTTTTCAAATGAGAATTAACATCAATTGGAGTTCTGGCCTCAGAATTTCCATCTCTGTCAAATCTCTCTAAGATTTGTTTTATATAATGACTTTGGGATAACGCATAACCGTCTTGTATCTTGATAATTTTCATACCAAGTATTACATCTGCTATTCCCAAGTCTTTCATGTCAAAGTGATTTGATAATATGGTTTTCGTAGCTTTAATCACCTTATCACCACTACCAGTAATGATCATATCATCTACGTAAAGACAGATAATCACAAATTCTGTCTCATTACCTTTGACATATATGCACTTGTCAACCTCGTTGACCCGAAATCCATTTGATAACATTACGCTATCAAACTTCGCATGCCATTGTTTCGGAGTTTGTTTAAGTCCATACAATGATTTCACAAGTTTACACACTTTTCCCTCTTGTCCGTGCACTCTGCACCCTTCAGGTTGAAGCATGTATACTTCTTCTTCCAGTTCACCATTTAGAAATGCAGTCTTTACATCCATCTGATGTAATTCTAGATTATGTAAGGCTGCCAAGGCTATAATAAACCTTATGGATGTTTTCCGAGCGACTGGAGAGTAAACATCGAAGTAATCGACACCCTCAGTTTGCCTATAGCCTTTGACTACAAGTCTCGCCTTGTATTTTTCAATAGAACCATCCGGTTTCATCTTTCTTTTGAAGACCCATTTATAACCCAATGGTTTGCATCCTTGTGGAAGATCCACAAGTTCCCAAGTGTGATTTTGTCGGATTGATTCAATCTCACTCTTCACTGCTTCCTTCCAATAAGGAGCTTCACGAGATGACATAGCCTCTTGATATGTCTGTGGTTCTTTATCCAACATAAACGTTAGATAATCAGAACCAAAAGAAGTCGGTTTCTTTGCCCTTTTACTTCTTCTAGGCTCTTCATCTTCTTCCTCTAATTGCTTAGAAGATTCATGAATTCTTTGAGATTCCATACCACTTGGATCTAATTCTATCCAACATAAACGTTAGATAATCAGAACCAAAAGAAGTCGGTTTCTTTGCCCTTTTACTTCTTCTAGGCTCTTCATCTTCTTCCTCTAATTGCTTAGAAGATTCATGAATTCTTTGAGATTCCATACCACTTGGATCTAATTCTATCCGAGTCTTGTAGAGAAATACATCTTCAAAAAATGAAGCGTCTCTTGATTCAACGACTGTATTCGCATGTATTTCAGAATTATCTGATTTATACACCAAGAATCGGTAAGCACTCGAATTGTGTGCATAACCAACAAACACACAATCTATTGTCTTTGGTCCTAACCTAGTTCGTTTAGGAATAGGGATAGGAACCTTAGCCAGACAACCCCATACTCTCAAGTATTTGTAGCTAGGTGATTTGCCTTTCCACAACTCATAGGGTGTTTTGTCGAGCCTTTTGTGGGGCACTCTGTTTAATACAAAATTAGCAGAAATCACTGCTTCCCCCCACAAGTTCTGAGGAGATCCAGAACTTATTAACATAGCATTCATCAT